GTGTTGGATCCCGATTGACGGACACGCGCGGGGTCCCGGCTGCAGAGCGTGTCTGGCTGGCCCGCCAGCGTCCCAGCTCCGGGTCGTCATTCATTCATTGATTTATTCAAAGAATATGCTCGGGGCGCTGAACTGGTGACGAACACTGTCAAAGAACAGATGCTGACCCCTTACCCCTTTTATTAATTTCCTCTGCCCGCCTTCGTCTCCTCATACACGCCCCCTCCCTCCCCAGTCCACTTTCTTCCCACCAAAACCCGCCCCCTGGAAAATTATTTCCAATTTAAGTCAATTCACAATACCCAACTCCGGGGCAAGAAGAGTCACATGTCTTCTAATTTTCTAAATTGAAGAAATCTGGCTCAGCTCCCGCTTGTCAGTGTTGGCGGGAAAGCCATTCGTCAAGTTTTGAGATCCTTCTTCTTTCCCTGGTCTTGTAAAGTCCAGAAAAAAAGAAAAGAAAATCGAGGCAGGACCGTTTTCTTTAGTTGTGCTGCTGCCCCTGGGGCACAGCCTGTGAGTCAGGTGGGCAGGGGCAAATTGAGAGAACCTTAGGTGGACACCAGCCCCAGCTCCTGGATTCCTTGTACTATGACACCCTCACGCAGCTTTCTCCCGACACTGATGCAAACACACAGAGGCGGGTCTCCATCCCCGGAAACTCCAAAATTTCTCCCTGCCTGAAAACAACCATATTTTCCATAGTCCTAACTACCTGCCTTTCCTGACCCAGAATCAGCTCTGTCCTCCTCTGCCACTACATTGAAGTGGAGGCGTTAGCAATTTCAGCCACGTTACTTTAAGGCCTGGGAAATAGTTCTTCTTTAGGGCTACCCCTGAAATACTAAGAAGCTATTAACCAGCGTGTGTTGGAGGCTGAGAGTGGGGAAAAGGAGGTTGTAGGAAATGCCTAGACCTTATAATAAAAATTTTTATCTATTCTTGGGATGGTGGACCCTGGGGGAGAGATTACCTTTTTATTCTTTCTAGTTTTCTGCAACAGCAAGAGTACAACTGAAATTAAGGTCTCAATAGATTAGCCTGCTAAGAGCTTTAAAAGAATTTGTATCTGTCACATATTTGATAATGAATTTGAATGAATGTATTATCTCTTGAAGGAGTATTAGCATGTCACCCTTATGCACGGTGTGCAAGAATGTTTCCTGTTCGTTTCAGGCATCAGTTAAAATATGGAGGGTATTCTCTTAGGTGGGCAGGAAACGGGAAACCCTGTGATTACATTGCTTAAGCTATCTAATGTTGCATAACAAATTACCCCAAACCTAGTGACTTAAAACAGCAGTATCCTTATTGGCTTTTACCATTTGTGGTGGTCAGGAGTGGCTTTGTGGACAGTTTGGCTTTGAAGGTCTCTCATGCAGTTGCAATCACATGTCATTTGAAGTTACAGTCATTGAAAGGTGTGGCTGGGCCAGAGGATCACTTTCTAAAGAGGCTAACTTCTATGACTCACATGGCTGCTGTTGATGGAAGACCTCAACTGAATTGTAAACATATCTCCACGCGACTACTTGAGTGTCCTCCTGGCATGAAAGCTGACTTCTGCTAGATCAGAAAATTCTAGAGAGAACACAACCTTAATGACCTAGCTCTCAAAGAAAGACCTGGTACCTCAACTACTCTGTTGTTCACATAGACCACTCCTGACTCGATATGGTAAGAGGCTACCTGAGATTCTGCATTTCTAACAAACTTCTATGATGCTCATCCTGCTGGTCCACAAGCTACACTTTGACTAGCAAGAGCCTGAGTTTTACTGTTCAAAGCAGTAAACACCAGTTATATATGATTATTTTTTAAATTTTTTATTTTTTGTGTGTGTACTGTCAAATCAGATCTGACTGGTACAGGAGGAGATCATCCCTCCTTCTCCAGCAGAGCGTCTGGTGGATTCAAACAACGCACCTCTGAGATTGCAGTGCAGCTTCTTGCCACTAGGCTACAAGAATTCACCATCAGTTATATGTGATTATTTAAATTAAAATGAGATAACATTATAAATAAATCCCTCCGTTTCATTGGCCACATTTCAAATGCATGTGACTAGTTGCCTTATTAGATAGTTATCTATATAGATAATGAACATTTCCACCACCACGAAAAGTTCTATCAGACAGCACTGGTTTAGAGAATTGACTCATAATAACTCCATTTTCTAGACTAGAACAACTATTTATTTAAGAACAGAAGAAGGATGGCTAGTCACAGATTGTTTCCCCCTGCTGGAATGGGTCAGCACTGTCTTAAATGCAGTTTGGAAGATTGTTTGGTCAAGTTGGCATTTGAGCAAAAGGGATTAGATGTTATAAAGTGCATGTCTGCCTACATGGTTATCAGACTGGATGAAATACTTTTCTGCTCATTGTAAGCTTTTTGTCTCAACTGGTGCTGGAGAAGGCTGGGGGACACCTTATTAAAAATTGATAGTTTTTTAAAAAGAATTCCCAGGGGGCTTGAGGCTCGTTGAATGCCTTAAACTATTGTCCTGAAATAATCTTCAAACTTTAAATAAAAAATATCTCCAAAGTCTTCTTTAAACTAAACAAGTTATTTATTAAGTAATTAAATAAAGAAGACTGGCTTAAGTATTGTGCAATGGTCTATGTGAGGTCAAACTGACTATGTCAAAAGATCAGAGTAAATTTAAGAGGCAGTGAGTTTTTATGTTACTAGTGAAGAACAATTTGGAAAAGGAGGATGAGAATGGTTATAATCACACACACTCATTCTTTGCTGTGGAGTGGAAACCAAACCATAGCTGACCCTCCGGTGAGTTTTCAGAGGCTCTAAATCACACAGGAGGAGATGGCCTATCTTTCTTCCTCAGCCATTGGTGGATTCGAACTACCTGCCTTTGAGCTAGCAGCTCAACTCCTTACCTACTAGGAATGTAGTCAGTGCCACTGAACTGTACAAGTTTAAATTGTTGAATTGGTGTTCTTTTTGCTGTGTGCATTTTCAATAAGAATAAAGTATAGAAAAAGAAAATATTTTGTTAGAGAAAACATGTCATCTTTGATAATGTGATATGGATTTAGATTGTGTTGTGCTGTTGTGTACTGGCAGGTTTTCAGGGGCAGTTAATCATTGGGGGTGGAGGCAGGTGGGTGGGAGATTGCCAATCATTCTTCAGCGGAGCAAATGGTGGATTTGAACTGCACACCTTTGGGGGTGCAGCTCGGCTTTTTGCTACTAGGCCAACTAGAGCTCCCTAGATTTGGTTGTATTCAAGATATACTTCTAAAGATGGGGGATTTTTTTTGCTATGCTAAAGAGCTGAACAGAAGATTCCAAAATGCAGCACGGAATGACAAAGCAAAACATTACAATGAAATGTGCGAGTAGCTAGAGTCAGAAAATGAAAAGGGCAGAATTCGTTCAGCATTTCTTAAGGTCAAGGAACGGAAGAACAAATTCAAACCTTGAGTTGCTATAATCAAGGATGCTTTAGGTAGAATGTTAAATGATCCAGGAGATAGCAAAAGAAGATGGAAGGAATATACTGAGTCATTGTATCGAAAGGAATTGGCAGATACAGAAGAATTTAATGAAATAACATTTGAGCTATGGTGATGAAGGAAGAAGTTCAAGCCGCTTTGAAGGAAATAGCAAAAAATAAGGCCCCCGGAATAGACATTATACCAATTGACATATTTCAGCTAACAGATGCTGTCCTGGATGTGCTCACCAAGTTGTGCCAAGAAATCTGGAGAACTTGGCCAACTGACTGGAAGAGATCTATATTTGTTCCCGTCCCAAAGAAGGGTGACCCAAATGAGTGTGGACACTACAGAACAATATCATTGATTTCACATGCAAGCAAGATTCTACTGAAGATTATCCAAAAACGACTGGAACAGTGCATCAACAGAGAACTGCCAGAAGTCCAGGCTGGGTTTAGAAGCGGTCGTGGTACTAGGGATATTGTAGCTGATATTAGATGGCTCTTAGCTGAAAGCAGAGGATACCAGAAGAATGTCTATCTGTGTTTCTTTGATTATGCAAAGGCATTTGACTGTGTGGATCATAACAAACTGTGGCTGACTCTGAGAAGAATGGGAATCCCAGAACATTTCATCGTGCTAATGTGAAACCTATACTTGGACCAAGAGGCAGTCGTCAGAACAGAGCAGGGCAACACTGCATGGTTCAAAATTGGGAAGGGTGTACGCCAG